TGACATAGCTCATGTGACGATCCTATCAAAGTCAAACACTTAGACTGCACGCCTGCACTGTGCACACACTCAGATATTGTGAATAAGAACAATGTTATATAGTGTGCTAGGCTAGGACTAGGGTGCTAAGTAGCCTTTTTTGATGTCTTGGTTATAGTTCTCTGTTGGTTTGGTAACCCTAGCCGAACTTCATCTTTCGTGTTGCTTTTGTGTTTCAAACCCTACACCAAAAATAGTGCCGACATTAGGGCGGTCTTCTTCTAATAGGGAGGAGTTATAATGAACGATGCTTACACTTTTTTCTGCAAGTGTTGTTAACCTCTCATCACATCAAGCATGGTTTACCATGTTGCATGTATATAACTTTTATGCTAAGTCTGTTTTGTGTATGTTAAGTTTTTGTTTTTTACATTTTTATATGTACTTTTTTGAGTCATAGAAGAATCCTGTAGCAAAAATAAGATACAGACACAAGTTCTGAGATGCTTGAGGCATGAAATCATGAGGTAGAGACCAAGAGTAGATGATCGTGTCCCATATCTTAATTCCACACTTTCTTTGATTCATAACATTTAGGACCAAGCATGTATCTGCAAAGCCTGACCACCTTTTTTGTTTTTTCTGGGATATGTTGCTGACCTCGCGACACCCGGTCTGTTATTGTTTTATTTTGGTCGGGTTTGCTTTCCTTGCATTGTGTGCTTGCCTTTTCACCGTTATTTGATTATAGTTTGTCTGAGAACACTGCACTATAATTTAGGCTCTTTAAGGACCCTAAAATTATAATTTTTCTACAAAATTCTAATGCTAAAATATCAAGATAAATCAAAATTTAGGCTTACAATATTCAACTTGTTAAAATATGCACTTTACTTTTCAGCATGAACTTCAACCTGGTTTTAAAATGGTTTGCATGGCATGAAAAACTATTTAATAAGTCTACATGGTCATTTTAGTATTCATAAGGTCTCCACTCTTATGACTAGACAATTGCATCATATTACATTTCCCAAGGAGAAGCCCCCGCGCTTCTTCAATCAGACTGACCTAAAATAAATTTCTATTTAGGTGATTTTCTATCACGTTTAGGGTGTTAGAGGCTTCCTTGATCCAGATGAGGAGTAAGTCTCATTTTAGGAGTGTTTTCAGCTTTGTAGTTGGACATTGACACACCTTAAAATTACCTACTTTTTCAGATATACTTTATGCACAATTTTAATGATAATGATATTACATTTTAAAGGAAGATGTTTTACATATTTTTATTTTCAGGTACAAGAAATCGAATTTTGAGGAAAATGAAGCAAAAATGGTGCAATTTGGAGTAACAACGAGCAAGAACGAAAATTCTGACTTGATACATTTCGATATGTCTTTCTATGCTTAATCTACTTTACATTTCTCATATGTTTTTGAATAAAATTACACTTTAAAGAAATGTTATTTTCATGTTTTTTTTATAAGTATATCTGTTAGGAGCGAAAGACAACTGAAATAGGGCGAAACAGAACTAAATTGGAGCCAAACGGAGCAAAACCGTGGAGCTGTTGTAGGGTGGCTTCTACGGCACCAAAATCCAGAGAAATGGCACATGAGGTGCCAAAGACGATATAAGATGGATTAAGGCAATTCAGGTCGAATTTTGGGCAAATTTTGAAGGCTCCAAATAATTCAAATGCCCATGGAGCGATTTAATGCATCTAAACACTTTGGAAGGCTCTTTAATGAAGGGATATGTCTCTTGAATGGATGGACATGTCTTTTGAGCTTTAAAAGGTGTGACTTTTGGAGAGAAATTTGGAAGGAATTTTAAATTCCTTTTGAAAGGTGGTAGCTCCTAATTAAAAAAGAGAGGAGTCTAGAGCATGAGGGTGGCGTGAGAGTGAGAGGAAGGCTTTGAAGAAGAGATGATTTTCTTTGAGGGTTGTGAGAGGAGCGGGAATGTGAAAAATTTCTTCATTCATTACATTTCTAGGAGAGAATTGAGTGTCATTGTAAAGAAAGAAAGTGCTTAAATGGAACTTCTAGGGATTTGCTTGGGAATGAGTGTGAGATAAGCTGTGTTTTTTTTTTCTTTATTCTATAAACTTGTTTTTAAATATGAAATCCTTGTTTTGTCGTATTCTTCTCATGAATTCTGAGTAGTCTTCTTCATCATTCTCCCATGAGATTTGATTATGTGAAAAATTGATTTTGTTTTATACGGTTTTAAATGTCAATAATTTGTGATGATTCGAACTCTGATTTTCATTTAATTTTCGATTTGGCCAATTAAAACTTGTCAATTGAAATGTTAATTGGCCAATTGAAATGTTAATATGTGTTGAGAAATATATGATCCAAAAGGGCTATGATTTCTACAACATGGTGAGAGTCACATTCGATTTCATGGGAGAAAATGACATCCGTGAGGTTGAGTGTAAATGATGCAGAATTTGAGATTTTAAGGTGACAGATTAAAATCCCCAATTTGGTCCAGTTGATTGGAAACGAATGCTAGATTGTTAGCCTTCAGGCGAGGGAGTAGTGGGAGCTTTGGAGCGGCAGACGGTATCCTCCCAATCTAACCATGGAATTAAGGACCAAACTCTGGATTAGTCAACGCTCGTTATGCACTTGAAAGATATATATAATGATTTTAATTTCTTCACAATCCATGGTTTTTAAAGAAAGCCATATATTATTTGAAACGATACGTGCACTTGCGTATAACTACTAGTGTGTGAACTATTTTATATATTTTATATAACATTTCGATTTTGCACATTAAATATATAATATAAATTGGGTCAAGATTTTGTCCATATTTTTGGAAGCTAAATTACTACGTAAAATTGGGACAGGTCAAGTTTTTGACACTATTATCAGGGATTTAAATTGGCATAAAACATACATAAAAATAACACAGCAGGGGCACATCAGACATCTCTTTTCTCTTCCTGCCGGTGGCATCTTTGTCATTTATTTGGCGAGTATAAGTCTCACTTATGTGATCCTTTATAGGTCATAGAACTTAGAATTTATTTTGTTTAAGCTTAAGGCTACCGAGGTCTTCTTGGACAACACAATTCACAGATTGCTGACAAGGAGTCTCTAATTGTGTTGGATCAACTACCATCACGATCAGATAGACTGAGGTTCGTAAAAGCTTGGGATGACAGATCCATTGTATCTTGACCCGACTATCTCTACCCAATTAGGATTACTCTGCCTCTTCTTTTATTGAACCCATTTGAGCCTTGTCATCATATTGGCATTTCATTGATGTCGTTTTGTATGCCCTAATTGCGGATAAACCGTCACCCATTTGAGATACAATGATTCACCATCTATTGTTATGACCTAATTAAGCTTTCGAATCACTGCTTGGACCCTGTGAGTTGACTTGATTATTTCCTAGACCCAGTATGCCAATGAGCTGCTACCCATTTGGGATGTGAAAGATTCACTCTCTGCTCTGTGGCTTAGCAAAAATTTTGAAAACATTGGGATGCTCCTGTGAGATAACCATCATTTTGGTGACATATTTACCGATCATGATAATGTAAGCAAGACTCATTTTATCGATAATATTAATGGGTATCCCTAAGATGCAATTAACAAAAGGGACGCGTTCCTTTGGGAGTATTCTTGACCCCAGAATAGAAATGTTCTTTTTTGTTCTTTGGTTAAGAGTGACTTATGTAAGGATTTTCTTTGTGGATACCGAGTTTCAATGTATTTCGATCTGATATTGTTCGAACATATATTCTCAACTTATCACACAAGTACATAAGCCTTTCATGTTTCCCTTTTAAATATTTGTTTAGCTATTTTCATCGTATATCCCGTTTTTTCTTATTTCTCTCCTCTATATGATCCGAGAGGGAGATTTCTTTGGAAAGGGGAATCATACGACAAAAACACATATATAGATAAACTGACGACTCTGAGTTTTTGAAAAGAACTAAAACACATTCCTTAAACATTTAAGAGCCATAATAAATGAAAATTTTGATATAATGGGCTTGCTAGATTTATTTTCTCAAAATGCTTATTTTGCTTGTAAAAGCATAAATTTCAAAAGCATTTGTTTCATCAAATTGTGTCATGAAGTTTTCAGTTATGCTTAATTTTTTTTTTTACAACAGTATAGACAAAATGAGGCGTTTGGGGTGATGGTACAGTGACAGTGCGATGCCTCATCACAATTTTTTTTGTTTCCCAAAACTTTAGTTTGCTTGTTTTTTTAAAAACAGTGGTTGAAAGCTACATTTTACAATCGTACGCAACTAAGTGCGTTGGCTGCGAAAAAAACTACAGTTTGACATTTGTAAATTTTTTTTGCTAATAGCCATCGTAAATTTTTGAACAAATTCTTTTGCAGCAGCTTCATTACTGTTTGTGAACAAATTTATGGGTCAACCCCCGCATGTAGCCAGTTGTGAGTAATTGTGCAATTTGCAATTTGATATTTCCTTGCTAGATTAGATAATGCAGTAATTTTACACCTCCTCCCTCCTAATTCATTTAGCCCAATTCTTATATACGAAAATAATAAGAAAAAAAATTGATTGAATTTCCACTTAATTATTTATTTATTTTTAATATTGTGATTCAAATATTATTTTAAGCTCGAATTGCTGATTTTTTTTTAAATTTTGAAAGAATTTAGTCATGAATATTATTAATTAATTATTTTCTTGAATTAATTAATTAATTATTTTCTTGAATCATTGAATTTTAAATGAGACCCATTGATACATGAGAAAATGCCTAAATGCTTCGAATCAAATCACCACCACCGCACTTTTGCGTGCTTCCGTTACGATACGGTTAACTCCGATATTTCCGAAACGCGGTCCTCCAAACCAGACCGTTACGGAATTAAAGTGGATATATTTCAAAATTTCAGTGGCAACATTGTAATAAAATAGATATATGGTAACACCGACTTTACCCTTCAGAATTATCTTTTAGTCCCAATTTTCTATATTCGACTCGCCACGCATCCCTTTCTCCCACTCACTGAAGCTTTGCTTCAAAAGCAGCAGCTTCTGCTTAAATTCTCTGCTCACCCTTTTCTCTTACCTATCTAGGGTTTCCTCCGCCTCCTCCTCCGTAATCATCGATCTCGATCTCTTGTATTCCCATCCCATGTCATGCGGGGTGCTGGAATCTGAGAAGATTCTCCCGTGATTCGGTAATCTACGCTTTTTTCTGTGCTGTTCTGGGATGAAAACAAACTTCGATCACTGCTTTCCTTGTTTTTCTGAGTGTGCGGTTTGTGTGTGTTTTGGATGAATTAGGTTGGTGTTTGTTGAGAAAGAAGTATGTCTTCTTCACGGAGTGGGCCGGAGCAGCAGCCACCTCCTCGTCGGCTGCTCCGGACTCAAACGGCGGGAAACCTTGGAGAGTCCATCTTTGACAGCGAGGTCGTGCCATCTTCACTTGTCGAGATCGCACCCATTCTCCGTGTGGCCAATGAGGTCGAGGCCAGCTATCCCAGGGTTGCCTATTTATGTAAGTTATATTCTTTATATGGCGGTTTCTTTTTTATATATTTTTTGAAGTGACGGATTCTTTGTGCTGATTTGTTTTTCCAATTGTGTGCCGACTGACATAGTGAATAATCGCATTGTGCATTTCATATTTGTTAGCTTTTTAAATTCTCTGTTTTTACTTGTTTGTACTTTAAATTTCATGTGCTTTTAGGGTGTTTTCCTTTCCTAAGGCTAGCTAGGATAAATGAACTTTCAACTTTGTTTTACTAGTATTGTTGAGAAAGTTAGAGAAAGACACATATATTATTTGAAAGCCATCGTTTATGTGACATCTTCATATTGTCTTTAGATTTTTTGTCCTTCGTCTTTGCTTGAAAATTTTCATATTTGGGCACTACTTGCAAAATCTAGCTCTTTACAAGAATAATTTTGATACCGGAACTAGTAGGGAAAACAACGAAAACACACAAAGCAAACTTTTATTAATATATTGATAAGAGTTATAACACGGCACAAGCAGAAAATAACAATACCAAAACATAAGACGACACAAGCAAACATCTCTCAAGTGTATTCCTAGGGTGTTGGAGGTCGGTTAGGGGGATCGGGATGGCTAGCGGGGGTGGTGGTAGCAAAGGCTAGGTGAGAAACTACAGGAACAATTACAGGGCTGGCTGTCCTGTGCATCAACAACGAGAAATTGGGGCATAAATGGTAGGAACAACAAAGGTTTGTTGTCCCGAGGCGGAGGCATCAAAGACTGGTGGATCAGAAGCTATGTTAGCAAAGATGCAGGCGGTTTGGGGTGGCGGGAAGGTGCTGTACAACAAGGTAGGACTGCAAGTATGGGTCAATTGGGTGCTGGGAGGAATTCTGGGAAGGTGTACAACAATGTTGGATTGTTCGAGAAGGGCGGTTGAGTGTTGGGATGGAGTTGGGGGAGATCGGCAGCAAAGGGGAGGGGAGGAGAAAAGTTAGATAAGGGTAAAATGGAAGATACAACACCACCTTAGAGCAGGATACAACCGGAGCACTACTACATCCTCGGATACAACCCTACAAAAGGGAAAATGACTCCACACATGAAATCTGAAAGCAAACACAACGAAAATCGAAAATAATCCAAGTATAACACTATAAGAATTCAATATTAGGACTTATTTTAGGCAATATTTAAAATAAGAAAAAAATATAAAAATAAAAAGAATTCAAATTAGGCATTAGTGAATAAACTAATAGATTTTCAGATTAGGCAAGGATGAGTAAAGTAAATCAGAATTTCAGAGAATTGGTCAGGACTTGTAATAGAAATGTACTAGTAGATTTTCAGATTAGGCAAGAATGAGCAAAATAAATCAGAATTTAGAATTGATAAGGACTTATAATAGGAAAGTATTAGGAAGGAAAAAGCGAGGGGAAAGAAAGGAAAGGGAGAGGTGTAGGGTCGACAACTCCTCCCCTTGGGAACTGTTTGGTCCAACAAAGTTGGACCAAACTCTCCAAGTCGGTCCTCCATAGCCCCAATGTCAGATTCCTTAAGGAGGATATAATCTTCTTGCTTAGCATCCCACCATACATCAAGGATGTGAAAATAGTTTAACCATTCATCAAGCATGTGAAAAGGACTATGTTTGAACAACATATAAAATAGAGGTGTAAATGAGTACAACTGAGATTGAGCTAGGGGTAAATCAAGACAACTTTATTAGTCTGTAGTTATCTCTAACCTAAGCTCGAGTTTAACTCGAGCTCTTGAGTTGAGCTCGAACTCGACTCAATCCATGAATGCTAGGCTTGATCTTAAGTTAAATTTAATCCAGACTTACCCCAATTAGTCTGGTAGCTTAAATTTAAGCTCGAGCTTGACACGATCTCACCTGCTGAGCTTGAACTCTGCTCGATCAATGAATGTTAGTCTTAGTCTCAATTGTTAAGAAAATAAGCAAATCTTAAATGCTTAATTATCTGTGTTATAGTGTGTTCAAATCATATTCAAGTTATGTCGAAACCACATTTAACTCTCATTCAAAACTAGATCAAACATTGGTAAAACTACGCTTGAACCTTGAGTAAGGCTTGTCCAAATGTTTCTTGCTTCATGGCCGAATTTTAATTGAATAATGTTCAAATCGCACTCTAACCTTGGTCAAGCTTGGGTTTACGATTGTTGGAATTATATTTGAACATTTCTCGAATTGTGTTTTTATATTGCTCCTACCATAATCAAATGTTTTTTCAGACAATTTTTTTTTGGGCTTCAAACGTAGTCTACTAATAACTTGTAAGGGCTTTGACCCGACCCGTAATTACGCAGATATTTATGTTTCCGAATATGACTAAAACTTGATCTAATTTATATTTAGCGGCTAGTGAGAATAAATATAATATTATAAAATTCAGATTAATAGTTTTCTCACCAACGGTACTACGCAAGCATACATATCATTTCAAATAATATATAATTTTTTTTTAAAACCTCAGTATCGATCTCACAGAGAAATTAAAGGAAAAAGTAAATTCAGGAATCTTAACCAATAAAAAACCTTAAGACTGCAAAAAATTATTTAAAGTAGTTTATGTAATGAAATAAAGTTTACTAATTCCTACAAATGCAAGTTAAAAATTAATGCAGAGTTTTTAGAAAATTTAAGATATATATATAATAGTAACATACTATATGGGTGCCTCCTATAGTATAAATGTTACAAATAATAGAAACCTTAAGAGTTTTTAGAAAAGTTACAAAAATTTTCTCCTTGCAAATAATTCATAATCAGTGTAGGATTTCAAATGTTTAGAAATTTAACTATTGTTTTCTGACAAATAGTAACATTATCTACTCTTTACATCTTTTGAGCATAAAGGACATTGACTAATCTAAAGATGGTGTCGGCATGTATAGCAGTGCTGGGTGGGTTCTAGTATCTCACTTCTAGATTACCCACTGTTCCCTCTCTTTAGAACCTACCATAGACCTTTAATTCCATCTCACTTCTAGATTACCCACTGTGTCCTCTCTTTAGAACCTACCATAGACCCTTAATTCCAAACTCTAGACCAAATTGATAAAAGAATCTAACATGTCACTCTAGAAACAATAAATTCTACACCCATCAAATCTTATTTCCCTATCTATTTGCACTCCCCCTTGGACGATTGCCATGACTCTTTTCAAAGTGAAATGTGATATTCATTAGTTAGAAATCTTAGCCCTCTTGGGTCTTTAAGTTTTTCAACAAATTTTAACAATAGAAGTGACCAATTTGTAAAGTAAATGAAGGATCGGTGAAAGTACCATCACAAATTTTGGAATAAAAGAAGTTAAAAGAAGTTCTAAATAAAAGAAGTTCTAAACAAATCAAAACCACCACTTAATTACTTCATATTGCAAGGAGAAAAAAGAAAACAACTCAGAACACATGGTGATAACAAAACAAAACATATTTATAAAACTTAAATCCTAAGTACAATACTTAAAAAAATACAAATACTTATTTGAAATATTTCCCCAAACACTCTTTTGAAGTTCCCGGACTTCTCAGACTCCAATAGACTCTTACAAGACTCATAAAATTTCTAGAAATCATAAAGACTCACAAAACCTTACTAAGGTGGCCTCCCATTCTATATGGGTGCCTCCCCTTCTTAAAACCACTCAAGAACTCCCCTTTTACGTTTAGAATTAATCCCTATTTATAGGGCTTCGAAAATCACCAATGGTTGCTTCAAACATCTCTTCAAAATTCGACCTCATTCAATGGATTTTCTAGAAACCGACTCTAGCACTTAGGCGCCAGTCGCGATCCTCATCTGGCGCCTAGGCGCCAGATTTTGGTGCCTAGGCGCTAGTTCGGCTGATTTTAGGCGCCAGTCGCGATCCTCATCTGGCGCCTAGGCGCTAGTTCGACTGATTTTGGCAATTTTCTTTGGTTTGACCAATTTTGCTCATTTTTGATGTATTTTTGCACCTTTTTGCTCTTTAAATTCTTTTTCTTGCACCTGTAACCAAAATTACACAAAATACCTTTCATTAAAACATAATATCTTAAAAGATGAGTATAAATTATGCATATATAAAATAGGTAATTTTAAGGTGGATCAGGCTCAAAACAAACTTGGGCATATTTTTTCTTAAAAAAAATCGATAGAGATACTTCTCAAATTATGTGAATTATGCGGCATATAAAATCAAAATTTTCTTTGAAATTGATTGAAAAATTTAAGGTTGTGGGCAATTGTCATTAAGTGGTTATAGAGTGGGAGGCCACCTTAGTAATTGTTTAGCACGATGAATTTTTTATTCGTGCTTCAGTAAACTCAAACTCAATTTCATCAAACATACTAGCTCGAACTCGAACTTGAAGCTTGATAAACTCAATTTGCAAGTTTGTTAGAAATCAATAATGAGTTGGCTTGCTAGCCGACCTGACTCGCGTCCACTTCTAATATAGAATCTCTTTCTGCAATTCAAGTTACTCATTCGTTTCACTAATCAAAATTATGCAACATATCCTAAGTTTCACCATGAGTCTATGTATTTAATTACGGCCCATTTGAAGGTATTCACACTTTAAAATTACAAAATCTTACCATGTAATTAGAGCTATTCCCTAAGAAAATTTTGATGTTTTAATCTATGATTACATAATATTAAAATTATTTTTGATGCTAGTATTAGTGATGTTAAAATGAATGAGCAACTTTGACTTTGCATTTGAACTAGTTTCACTAAAATTTAAATAGTGCGGTGTCTCTTTTTAAGGAAGAAAATGGTCCATCTCTTTACATACATGTTGAAGCACATGCACATGTGTGAGGGATACTGTAATCTATGCGTAAGGATTTTTATACTATGATTGGAAATTGGAATTTGGAGATAAAAGTAGAGTTAGAAATAAAGTAATAGTTTTCTATTTGAGTTTAAAATGTGAATAGAAGAAAAAAAACGGGAAATGGAAAAAGAAAGAGGCACCATCTGTTTGAAGGATTTTGTTTTTCTCCCAAAATAAGTAGAAATGGAGAGGAATAAATTCATATAAGTAAACTTTTAATAATACTCAAAGATAAGTGTTTATTCTCTTATTATTCTAATCCATCTTTTTTCTTATGAGGGCATACTTATCAAATTAGTTATAATATTTATCTTCCTTTTTTTCTTTCAATCGACGATTAAGAACTATATGAATAGTTTTCTTCTTTTAAAAACTCCAACAGAAAGAAAAGAATGTATCTTTTGTTTTGTTTTTGGCTAACTCTCTTCTTCCTTCCCCGGACTCCAAGGCAGAGTCTCAAGTTCAATGAGCATAACACATCTATGCTTCACAAATTTGCATAAAAATTAATATGCAAATAATTTTCAATTTCTATTGCATCATGTATTATCAAAGGCATGAGCATGAAGGTATACAGCATTTAGACATTATTAGGATGCAAGAAGAAGGCACTGTATAGTGTTTATTATATTGAGTTTGGAAAATATATTATAACCGATATAAAGTGAATATCTTTTACATGGAACATGATGCTAATCCTTTAACAGCTAGAATTACTTAAGTGCATATCTCCTTTGAATTCTATTTAGCATCCATTGTGTACTAATTTCAGGACTCCATATATAATACAGAAATTTGAGATGCACATATTCATGCTGGATGAATATTGTCCATTTCTTCCCTAGTATTTGCTAGTTACAGGATAACATTATTATGAATGTGTTCCCAATTTTTTACTGTTGTGCCGTATTGCCTAAATTCTTTGATGTTGGAAGATCTTATAATTCTGATTAATTTGTTTTGAAGGCGAGCATGGAATTTGACTGATAATTGCCTATGCAATATAACTTAAAATTAAATTTCAGTTCATAATCAGGCAAATATTTTTTTATTGTATGATTCCACAAAGTTAAGGAAGATGAGGAGGGAAAGGCTTGCTAGAACCATAAGCTTATGATAAGACATTGACAATTTGTCCATCATGTAAATTTAGTTTGATTGATCAGGGTCTTTCTAGAATGTAACAGTAGTGTCCACTGGAAATTCTGCACAACAAAAATAATAACGGGTTGAAAGATAGAGTTAGGAAATGGCTTTACATTAGATCCTTTCTAGCGATTTATGTGACTTGCTTTTTGCAGCAATTGACACTATTGGGGAAAAAAAAGCTCTTTAGGAATATGATAAATGGAGGGATAAAGACAAGATCAAGTGGTGATCTTGAGAGCTGTGCTATATAGCAACCCTTGTATGATTCCACTAATTGTTTAGTGGAGGAAGGAAAAAAAAGCCATTTTGAACTTTTGAATATTGTTTAGCTAAGACCTCAACCTTTGAACGTTAAATATGGTAGCTATCTTTTTATGGACCAGCCATGGTCATTGATTTCTTTTGTTTGGTTTTGTAATTCATGCTATGTAGCAGTTTCTTGTATGTTATCTGATACCTAGAGCTTGTTTGTGACCGAAAACTGTGTATAAAACATTTCTGTGTGGTCAGCTTTAAAGCACGAATCATTCTACTTAGTCAAGACTAGAAAGGGATCCAATGAAAAGCTGTTGGATCAAATCTTTAATTGAATAGCAACTCAGATGGAGTCATACCATCGTTTTTTTGGCTTTTTGATTTTATGTTATGTAGACATTGCTTGTATTGTATTTAATACTTGGGGATTTTCTATGTACCTACTGATGAATTTTTACCTTACTGATCGATAGGTAGGTTCTATGCTTTTGAAAAAGCACACCGATTGGATCCAACATCAAGTGGGCGTGGTGTGAGACAATTCAAGACTGCTCTGTTGCAAAGACTTGAAAAGGTGGGTTATATATATTTTTCTAGTAACGAAGGATATGCACCAGCTTGTTTTTTAATGCTGAAGCTTATATTGTTTGAGATGCTTCTATATAATGGTTCTTTTATTTAAAATAAGCATTCCAAAGGATTTTGCTTTGTATTGGGATTTTTTTTTTTGGCTTTATAGATTGTTTATGGTGTTCATTATTAACAATTATTGTAGGGGATTTTCATTAATTTTTGTTTGCACTTGCTTGGTTCATAGTCTTTGGTTGCTAAACAGTGGAAATTCAAAGTCACAAAGATTGATACAAATAATTGAGTTGGCCAACTCCAGTGACACCGTTCTAGGATTCCTTGAAGGTGTTTCAGGATTGAATTTAGTGAGGAGAGATTGTGGAATGACAAGAAAAAATGGATATGTGAACTTTTCGGGCATTGGATGGGAACTAATGGACTTCGATGGTTGATTGAGTTAGACAACAGACAACAGGGAGGATGATGAAACGGTGATTTCAATAAGGAAGAAAAATAGGCTACAAATCTCCAAATATGAGAAAATAGAGAGACAAAGTCTCCAAATAATTTAAACCAAAGAAAAAGTACCAAATATTGTTATAAGAAAATGACTTGTACTAAGACATAAATTTACTCCCTTTATAATTCAAATTTAAGTGAAAATGAACCACACAAGGACCGGTGGTCATAATGATAGTTAACCCAAACAACAATACAAATGCAAATATTATTATCAAAAGCAGATTTGCGATCATAATTAAGCATAATTGAAAGGGAAATACAACGACAAACTGAAACAAATGTTACTAAACTATGTCCTAAGGTGATGGTCAGATTTGGTGAATGGACTGCATGAGGGTGGCGAGGCGGTGGATGGCTATAGGAAGAAGGGGAAGTTGCTGTTGGCTGCGATGGGGTAATATGGAGGTCGCTTGGCTGAAATCAGTGGAAAAACAACGAGGAATCAATCGCTTGTTGTTTCAGGCGACTGTAAGGAATTGACCTGGATTGCGGGAAGAATAGCCGAAATTGTTGTTACGGGCAGTGATAGTGAGGTGCCGTTGGGAGCGAGGAGGGGCTTAGAGAAATAGGTGGTTGGGTGGTTGGTCTACTGGAAAAAGACTTCAATGGTGCTGTTCTGTGTGAGTGTAGAGAGGAAAGGGGAAGTATCTGCGAGAGTAATGTTTTTGGAAATAAGGAAACAAGAGATAAACACCAACCCAGGTTGAGTTACAGTCGGAGCATCTTTTTGCCTTTGGATACAGCTTTAGAAGGGAGAAATCGTGACGACAGCTACTGTCTATACTGGTGTTTTTGGAAATAAGGAAACAAGAGATAAACACCACCCCAGGTTGAGTTACAGTCGGAGCATCTTTTGGCCTTTGGATACAACTTTAGAAGGGAGAAATCGTGACGACAGCTACTGTATATACTGAAAACCAAGAATAAAAGAAAACCTAAGGCAAAGGAAACCGATATGTAAGCCTTTGATAATTGTGATTGGGCCTTGTTTTTGAGAGGAGGTGCTAAAACCTTGGAAAGGAACCAGTCGGCTCTACCTTGCCTGGACCAGAGGGTCGAGGCATGTAAAATGCAAACGGGGCTCGAGCGCCTCTCTTTGCATGCCCATGCCGGTCTCTCGGGGTTGAGGGAGCTTTGATCTCTCTTGTAATGTGGAGTTATATCAAGTACGTTGAAGGTGACAGAGTTGATGTAACCTTTCGTGTTTGAAGGGTCTTTGACTACATCGATAAGAGCATCAGAATTCCACTGTTGATTGCACTGTCTCTCAAAACACCTGAGGAATTTTTCCTATTTGCGAGCAACGATTCATGTTATTCCGATTTTCTGGGGGTACACTGCAGAATTGAACCGAGCCTTCCTGCCAAGTATACTCTGCTGAATCCTCTAAAAGCTGACCAAGGTCGGCTTAGCATGATCTGAAGTGAGGGTAGTTTGAATTTCCCCAAATGATGGTGGTCATGGAGGTAAGCTATGGAGCAGGATGCCCTGAAACTCTTTCTATACTAGTTACCCTTTGTCTGCAACCGACTTTTCTATCTTGCGGTCCTCCGTCATAATGAAGATTGATCCTCCTGATGCTTCTCTGTTGGCAAGAGTACCTTTAATCTTGGACTTCATAGAAGACGTAAGGACGATGAACTATGAGTATGTGTTCTTGTACCTGTCAAGCCGAGTCCTGCAATCAAACTTCCATAACCTTCCCAACAAAAGTGACAAGCTTCCATGGGCATCACGTTGCACAACACCTGATCCTGTAGTTCATTCCCAATTGAAAACTCCACGTGACATATTCTGTGAATGACGATTCTGTTCTTCCTCAACTATGTTAGGTTAGAGTGTCTTTGAGTTGTGAGGCTCAACTTGTCCACCAGATGCGTTGATGCTGTATTCTTGCTGGTTCATCTATCGATAATGAGGCTGCATACATTTCTCTTCACAGTGCAACAACCAATAGAGGTTTATACCATGTTGTGACAAAGCTGCTGCTGAACCTTCGTAGTCTTAGTTTATAAAGCCTGTTGAACCACAATCATCTTGCCCTCATTTGGTGGAAGATGATACTCACCATTTTCTTCAGCTGCTTTTTCGTCCCTAACCACCTCTGCTATGCTCGGTAAACGAAACAACTCGTCTTGTCAGGTAATTGGAAGCGATGTGCCGAAATACATGACATTTGAAGCATTTTCTGGTCAGGACTATTGTGGGCGAGCTATTATTCTCAGGCATCTCACTTTAAATGGCTTGTTCTTCTCCTAAATATTCTTCTTGACTCCCTGAGATGTGCTTCTGTTGATGTCTCCAAATGCGGGTGGCTGTCTGAATGAGGGCGGATGCTTGTTATGTTTTGGCTCTCTCCACCTTTGGTGCCTATGTCTGGACGTCACCCAAAAACCAGTAAGACTATAGTTGGGCCACATTACCGTTGGTGGGTTTGAAGCCTCCCAAGTAAATGGTGACATGATCTCTCCACTTTAGAAATTAGCGTCTGAACATCTGGTCTATAGTGAGCTGGTAGATATTGACACCGCATCTCTCATTTAATCTTAGACCATTAGTGATTTTTCTCTTCCTTTCTTGTTGTCAAAGAATCTATCAGTTCACCCACCAATGAGATGCACTCTTCCTTGCAGGCACCTAGTTTTACCATTTTGTTTGGAGGGACGTCCTAGCATGCAAAGACATATTCCAAGGCCCAGATATTTCAAGTCAAATCTTCGATTAAAGGCTCTTCATCATCGGAATTCACATGATGGAAGAGATTCACTCCATTTCTATGATCTAGCAATTCACCATTGTGGCTACGGGTGCTCGTCCGGATGGTCTTTTTTTCTCAATTTCATCGAGCCGTTGTTGTACTCAAAGAACTTGTCGCCGCTTTTCTTTCATGGTAAACTCATTCAACTATTTTCTCCTCGGTGGCATGAGAATGATTCAGGTGTGGGTAGGTGAAAGGAGATGTGTAGGGGTGTTGTAGGATGAGAAAGAAAAAAATTCATTGACCTGATTAAAAAATGAGCAAAAAGGAGAATTTTTGTGTGGAGGTGTGGTGGGTATGGGTGGATGATAAAAACTCTAGGATAGAACTAGGATTAACCCAAATCACAATAGAAAAAAATATTATTACTGAAAGCAAATAAATGATTACAATCAAACACACTTAAAAGGAAAATTACAACAAACAAAACTCAATTCAAAATTGGGCTCGATCCATGGGTGGTAGAGGTTGGCTAAATGGTCGAGGAGCAGAGTTAGGTGGCTGAAATGGGTTGGGGGTGGTTGGGACAACAAAAGAGGGGCTGGAAGCACGCTGACAGTGAAGAAGAGGGCCAGGACAGCGAGGGAAGCAAGTGGGGTGGCAAGCAGAGCGGTGGGGCACGGTGAGAAAGGCTGGAACAACAGGAAAACAACAGGTTTGCTGTCTTCTGAATGACGACAACAAAGGGGTGAAGCGAGGGATTGCAGGACAACAAGGGACGACTGTTCGGGGCGGTGGCAACGAGCAAGATGGGCTGGAATGGGAACACTGCTGTGAAAAAGGACAAAAAGTGCTGTTCGGGGCAGCTGCAGCGATGGAGGATGGTCGAGAGGGTGCGGAGAAGATGCAGAAGGGGATAGGAAAGATAATCACCACTTCGGCAGAGAGATACAATTGAAGAACCACACAATCTCTTGGATACCACACTTGAAGGGAGAAAAATGGACGCATGCAACTACCTTAAACAAAACACGTGAAAAACTAAACTTAAAACATCAGGAGTACAAATATATAGTAAGTGGATAACCCGGTAGTGGCCCAAGAGGACCTACTGACTTCTTGGGAGGGAGAAAACCTAGACTAGTTCGGTCTAGGCAAAACAACAGGGCACAACATCGTTCGCGGGTCACGCCTTTGTTTGCAAATCGCGTGTTGGGGGCTAGGGTTGCTCCCGCGCCAAAAGGTACCTGGAATAGAATAGGGATTAGAGGGTAGTTGGCAACCTGTTTATTTGTTGTTATCTCATTCTTCTAAGGGGATGTTTGGTGCGATACTTTTAACAGGATTTAAGTGTGGATTTAACGTAAATCCAACCAAATATCATAAATGGGTTAGATAAATCTTGGTTAAGTTAGATTCAATTTTTAGTCGTTCTATTTATTAAATCAATTTATTAGTTGGATTTAATGAATTTAGCTTAAGGAAAAAAAAAATTTAAATAGATTACGCCAAACACATCAAATGGATTTAATCTTAACTGAACCAAATATTTTTTTGGATATAATAATATTTTAGATTTGATTAATCCGCATTTACTGGGTTTACTAAATCCTATTTACTTAAATCCTACTAGCAGCCAAACACTCCCTAAAAGTGATTTAGTGTAATAAGTTGTCCTTGCCCTGATAATCTGTTGCAGTAGGTTTTGGAAAGGCGTCTGCAATAGTTAGGGGGTAGAGGGTAGTTGGGAACCTGATTGTTTGCTGTAGTCTCATTCTCCTAAAAGTGATTTTGTGTAATAAGTTGTTTTTGGCCCTGATAATCTCTTGCAGTAGGTTTTGAATGGGACTCTTGAAACTCGGCAGAGATTATTGTTTGCTAGAAAACTTTGTCTGGTTACTTGTTTCAAGATTTCTTGTGCCTTGGATGTGGGAATTATTTCCCGTATTTTCTAAGTTGTAAACCTGGATGAAGAAAATTTTTTGCCGTCAACTTGCCATCGCCTTATTTTTCACTTGGATTGGAATGAAACATCAACTCCAATCAAAATACATACTAATATATTAGCAAAGCAGGCAATGTCTGAACATGTTTTGAGGAACTTGCTATGCGTTCTCATAGGTTGAGCTTTGGGTATTAATACTTAAATTTATTAGTTAATTTATATGCACATTATGGAGCCTTGGAAATTTAGTGCCATCAATATTCCCATATTGCTTTGAATATTGTTAATTACTTGAATAAATTGTCTGCTTACATGGCCTTTACACTTCCCATCTTATATGATAAGGACGTAAGGTTTATTAGTTTTGAAAAATTTTATGAAAGTTTTCAGGATCTGACCAAAATTTTCATTTGCATTTCAAATTCAGGCAGATGGATAGATGAAAGTTGTTCATTGAAGTATGAGAAACTTGCTATGATGTTTAGGAAAAATTGATTTATTGTTATCTACGATTGAATTTTCTAGCACTACCAATGGAAAGTCACTACTTGAAGTGTGGATGATGAAGTCACTACTTGAAGTTTTCAGGATCTGACCAAAATTTTCATTTGCATTTCAAATTCAGGCAGATGGATAGATGAAAGTTGTTCATTGAAGTATGAGAAACTTGCTATGATGTTTAGGAAAAATTGATTTATTGTTATCTACGATTGAATTTTCTAGCACTACCAATGGAAAGTCACTACTTGAAGTGTGGATGATGAATCAGAAGAAAAAAACTCGATGGACCTTATATCATTGCCAGTGAATGTATATTTTGCTATATCATTTGTTGAGCTTATGCGTAAATCAAAATTTGATATTAAATACAAATTGTTTTGCCAAAGAAATTATAAATCATGAAAAGCTTATTGGAAATCACGGGAATGTTATGAAGGTGATTACATGTTAGTTTATATGCACTTAATGCTTTCCACTGAGTATATTTTATAAGCTCCATGCTCAAGCCTCAAGATCATACATAATTCCAAAAAAACATGAATGAAATGGATATATTATCGATTTTCCTGCTAGTATAAATTGGAATATGACTTTCAATGCCAAATATGTAATATATAGAGATACTTTGAGCATTTAAAGTGTCCAACAAGTATCGCTGCAATTTGAATTCTACATTCCAAGTTCCAATTCTGTTACCCGTCCCAATCTTAGTCCGAGATGTTGAGCAGCTTTTGCTGGATGAGATGAAATAAGGTTCTTTAAGGGGCAAAATTATTTTGTTTCATAGAGTGAACCAGCCATTGAATGACCCTTGGATGGCTCATGACAAGTTGCAGCGCTTTTTTTCCAACCTTTTGGATAAGGATGTTCAACATATCTTTTCGCCATGAGTCTCCTAGGGCTAGTCTGATGGATGGTTATTTTTTTAATGAAATATGATATTTTGAGAAGCTGCCTTTCTCTCGTTTTCCCCTCTCATTTTGTCCTTTTGTACTCATTACCTTCCTCTCTTTCAACTCGGTATCACTGGATTATTGTCTAGGGAACAATTGTTTTTGCTTCTTCTGAAACAGCTAGCTGTCTGCTTAAATCTTCTATCCTTTTATGGTGATTCAACGTCTTTAGGACAATGAGCCCACTCTTAGAGATCGGCGCAAAGGCAGTGATGCACAAGAAATGCGAAATTTCTATCAGCATTACTACAGAAAATATATCGAGGCTCTCCAAAATGTTGCCGACAAAGCTGATCGGTGAGTTAGATATATTTTGTGATTTGTAAGTCTTCTAATGTTATTGTGAATTATTTTTACTTCATTTTTTTAATTCCTTTATGCTAATCATTTGCTCCTTTTAGTGCTCGACTTACCAAAGCTTACCAAACAGCTGCCGTTTTGTTTGAGGTCTTAAAGGCTGTTAATCTGACTCAATCTCTTGAAGTTGATAATGAGGCAAGCTGTATTTCTACTTGATTTTCCATAATTTAAGCTGGTATTTATTTATTTATTGCCAGCATGTTAGAATTTCTCCACTTTTAATTTTGACAAAAATGCTATAAAAGCAAGCTTCCAACATCTTCTCTCTGTTTGATGTTTACCATTTATTAATTGATTATATGTTGTCTTTTGTTTAGATATTGGAAACTCATAACAAAGTTGAAGAAAAGAAAAAGATATATGCACCTTACAATGTTCTTCCACTTGATCCTGATAGCGCAAATCAGGCTATAATGCGGTATCCAGAGGTTTTTCTCATAACTCAAGTTTTAGGCAATGCTTTCAGTTTAACGAAGCCTTTATAGGATCTGATTACATTATGATCCTGCAGATTCAAGCTGCAGTTATTGCTCTTCGGAATACTAGGGGTTTACCATGGCCCAAAGAGCATGAGAAGAAACTAGATGAAGACCTTCTTGACTGGCTTCAAGCAATGTTTGGTTTTCAGGTGAATTCTCTGTTTGTTTTTTTTTTTTTTGGGTTAGTAATTTTCTTTTTTGGCTTGTTATTTCATATTTGAACTTCTTTTGGGTTATGCCATGCAAATACATTTCATTTTATGAATTCTTTGAGTATGCAGAAGGATAATGTCGCTAATCAAAGAGAGCACTTAATTCTGTTGCTAGCAAATGTCCACATCCGTCAAATTCCCAAGCCTGAACAACAAGCCAAGGTCTTAGTTCCTTTTTTACTGTGCTTAAATAACTGTTTGTGTGCTGTGCTATTTTCCGCTTTGATGAATTTTCATTTTAATATTGCTATTCTATCTTTCAGTTGGATGATCGTGCCTTAACTTTGGTCATGAAGAAACTATTTAGGAATTACAAGAGGTGGTGCAAATACTTAGATCGAAAGAGTAGTCTTTGGTGAGAATTAAGAAGCCTTTTTTTTTGCGACCATTTTACATTTGAAGTACTTGTAGTATTGGTGTTTCGTTGTGGTTCTCCTCTTAAAGAGTTGATTTTTATCACACTGATATTTAATACATCATTATATTAAAATTCCAGGCTGCCAGCAGGAAGTACAACAGAGAAAGCTACTTTACATGGGTCTTTATCTTCTAATTTGGGGTGAAGCCGCAAATCTGCGTTTTATGCCTGAATGCCTGTGTTATATCTATCATCATGTGGGTTTCCTGCATAACTTTGATTTATCCTATTTCCAGATGCTGTGTTTCTTTTGCCCCTTGCAAAATGACAATAGGAAAAAAAATAAATAAAATAAAACACCTTTTTCTTATTGGCTGTGCTTTATCTTAACTTCATATACTAACCATTCTCTCCCGGGAAATTCATATGATTATTTGTTCCAATTGCATTGGTTCATGTATTAAGCATTAGTGGACACTGTATGATATTGGTCTTATGCTTATGCTGGCATCGATTTGCATCCTTGATTATCTGCTTTAGAATCTTATATTTCTCAAAAGTGTTTTTTGTCCTTTTGCTAGATGGCTTTTGAACTTTATAGCATGCTTGCTGGCAATGTGAGTCCCATGACAGGAGAAAACGTAAAGCCAGCTTATGGAGGTGATGAGGAAGCCTTCCTCATAAAAGTTGTAACTCCTATTCATGAAACAATAGCAAAGGTGCTGAAATATTGTTCTCCCCCCTGCATCCTTCTCTTCTTTTAGTTAATTTTGTTTACTTCTGCAGTTATTTAATTCCCTTGATTAGTGCAGGAAGCTGAAAGAAGCAAAAGAGAAAAATCAAAACATTCTCAATGGAGGAATTACGATGATTTAAATGAATACTTTTGGTACTAATAACAAGGAGTTTTTAATTTATATTCTCTTATTGACTTTTTCCCTGCAAGCCAGTTTGCTATTATCTTAATGATGTGCAGGTCGGTAGACTGTTTTCGTCTTGGTTGGCCTATGAGGGCGGATGCAGATTTTTTTTGTCAACCTCATAAATATCAAGTTGAAAAAGATGGAGTAAGCTGCTTCCTATCTAATTTGATTCAGTATTTGCGGTTTGTGCGCATATTATAGATGTGATTGTGAATTAGAACTATGAGTGAACTTTATCATTTCTTACTCATATTTTAGTTTACTAAGAATAGCACAAATTTATTAATATATTTTAAATTTTCTTTGCTTAGGAGAACACAACCCCTGGTAGGGATAGATGGATTGGGAAAAGTAATTTTGTTGAGATACGCTCATTTTGGCACATATTTAGAAGTTTTGATAGATTATGGGCTTTTTTCATCCTGGCATTGCAGGTGATTTGCTACATTTTTTATACTGAAATATAAAAGTTGCACTTTATAATTTTATTAAGCTTTCCTACTTTCTTTGCAGGTCATGATTATCCTTGCATGGAATGGAGGCTCGCCAAGTGATATATTTGATGATGGGGTCTTTAAAAAAGTGTTGAGTATTTTCATAACTGCTGCTGTATTGAAGTTAGGACAAGGTAAATGAAGCAATTTCTTAACTTGAAGTTGTGACAAAAGATGTGCAGATGTGTTAAGACCGCATGTAGCTTAAAGAATAATGAGTAGGCTAATAGGTTTTGTAAAGTTTGGCAGGTCAACCATAATTGGATTGGGAATAGATCTTTGATTTCTTTTTTACCGGATACTGACTGATTTTTATTCTTAATTTTTTCTTTCCTCTGTTACTGAAATAAAAAAAAAATGTTCTGTTTCATTTTTATTTTTGTATGTAAGTGTTTTGGCTGAATAAGCAATATTTTTATTGTCCTTGGTTATCTACACTTTAGATTCGATTGTTTAATTTGTAAAGGTTATGAAACCCAACCGACTCGCCTTAGAATGTAATGAATCACGTGTGTTTGTCAATTTAGTTCATTGTTCATACCTGTGGTCTTTGGATTTGTGCTAAATCAGACTTTTTTTATTAAACTTGATTTGAATGCAGTCCTATATTTTCTTTGGGATATTCTATTTGAGCATTGTTATTTATAAGTTGATTGATATTTAAAATACTTTTATAGCATGTTTTTTTTATTTCTTTTTTGAAAAAATATTTCTAAGATCATTGTTAACAAGTGTGTGAAGTCATTGACTTAGGCGCGGGTGGATAGGGAGCCGTGGGACAATCCCGAGCTTCCTTCATTCTGACAGAACCAATGTAGACCCGGGAGGGACGATCAACCCTTCCACCATGGATTGGTGCCTCTTTTTTCATAGGGTGGTCCAATCCTTGTTATCTAGGGCTTATATTGTGTTTCATATGTATGAGATTTTTATTTTTCGTCAGGACTACCGCCGATGCCTTTTTATTCCCACCTAGGGTTGTATCCAAAGGCGAGAATGTGCTCTGACAATATCTTGAGCTGGTGTTTATCAATCATTCCCTACTTCCCTTTGCCCCTCCCTGCTGCCGTCGTCATCGTGGTTGCTGCCGCCACCCGGAAAAATAGCCCCTTTGTTGTTTTCTTGCAATCGACCGCCACTCTCATCCCCCCCCCCCCCCCTAGTTGCCTCCAACCATTTACCTACTTGCTGTCATTGTCTTCCAGCCACCTCCAACCTGTTGCCACCCTCTTCCAACCACATCCAGCTTGTTGCGGGCCTTTCCAACCACCTACCTACTTGCCGCCGTCCCTTTCCAACCACCTTCAACCAGGTGCTGTCCTCTTCCAGCCACCTCCAACTTGCCTCTTGCAACCTTTCTACTGTCTCCACCGCCCAGAAGGGCTCGCTTACGTCCACCACTCAACCCGCTTTAATTACTATTTCTTCTTAAACTGGAGCACCACTGCCTTTGACCTCAGCCTTAGTTGAGCTCGTATTTAGTTTTTGTTATGTCCTACTTCCAAGTATCTCCGATTGATCATCTTTTGCTTAACAATAATATTTTGCTTTCCCTTTTGTGGTTTGGGTTTAACTTCATTTAGTATTAGAGCTAGCCTAGTACTGGTCATATTCTAAGGTTTCTAGCATTCACCTCCCCAAAACCCCCACCCCCTGCCTCACGCTCAAAATCTTTTCCACCTCCCTCACGCTAAAAAAATTTCCCCCACCCTACAAACCCCTAAACCCTAACCATGCCGTCGAGAAGGCAATTGCCCGAAACTGACCAGGACTTATCATGGGCGACAGAGCAAATACTCGACTAAGTATTACAATTGCTCGAGGCCGTTGAGCAATGGATCATGGGTGAGGTCACCTTTGATAATAGTGAGATATGTGGAGGATAGCTAGAAGAATAAGGGCTCGTTTGGGGCAGCTTATTTGGGTGTGGCCCGCCGTGCTGTTTGGAAAATGCATTCGGCGGGCGTTTTCAAACCGCCTCAACGCGTGATATTTTTGTATGCTACAGAGTAGGACGCGGGGCAGGGTATGCGTTCGGCGTTCACGACTGGCATTAGGAGAAAATTCCTTCGGAGCCCTCGACTGATCTCTCGCGATCTCCCTCGCCCTCTCCTCCTGATCTCCTCCCTCGCGAAGAACAACGATTCGCCGATATCCTCGATTTGCCGATCTCTTCGATTCGCCGTTCTCCTCCCTCGCAAAGAACTCATCCATAAAAATTTGAAATTTCTTCCTTCTTTCAGTTGCCATGGAGTTATTATAGCATTGCGACCCACTCTCCTCTCCCCTTTCACCTTTTTCTTCTCGTTGGTGGAGTAAAGCTCCCTTCTTTTCAGTAGATGAAATGTGCTTTTGGGTTCTCATGGCTTGATGCAGCACCGGTGGCGGCGCATTTACAGAAATTGGACAGTGGAGGGTATTTTGAGTTAAGGTAATTTCTTTTTGCTGAATTTTTTATTTGGGTTTTGTTTTATTTCGATTTGATTTCTTCGTTTTGGCTAGGGTTTTGAAGTATGAGGGATTTTTTTATATTTTGTTATATAGTTTATTTTCTTTGATTTGACATTCAGGTTTTAAGTTTTTTTTAAAGTATTATCATATGAATTTATGATTACTCTCCAACATAAAGATTTAAGATACAGTTTGTTAGTCAATTATTATGATTTAGTGGTCAATATGTTCTTAAAAATATATTAATTTCACTCAGCTCAAACAGGGGCATAGTGGTCATTTATCCAGTAACAGTTATAAATAAGCTATTCTGAATAAGCTCCCACAAACAACAAAAGTGGTCAATATGTTCTTAAAAATATATTAATTTCACTCAGCTCAAACAGGGGCAGTGGTCATTTATCCAGCAACAGTTGTAAATAAGCTATTCTGAATAAGCTCCCACAAACAGCAAGCCAACTTATTCTGATAATCTGGAGATTATCAGATTATCAGAATAATCTGTTTATCAACAGATTATAAATAATCAACAGTTGTCCCAAACAGACCCTAACTGAACCCCTTTTGTAGGGATGACTTCAATGAAAAGGATAATCAACTCGGGCATTTTAGAATTTAGCATTAGAAGAGGCCGAGAGAGGAATTGCCTACTGGAGGGCACAAAGATCTGAGAGTTAAGGTGGATCTAGCAGGCTTCGACGGGAGGATACGTCCAGATGATTTTCTCAAGTGGATGCTGCTTGTTGAGTGGATCTTTGAATACAAGTATGTGCCCAGTGACAAAAGGGTAAAACTCGCCATTATCAAGCTGATGAGGAATACCTATTTGTGGTGGAATAATCTGAAAAGGAAAAGACAAACGAAAGGGCGGGACAAAATCACTTCTTGGAGGAAAGTTGGAAGAATAGTTGAACCCCTTATGTAGGGACAAATTCACTAAAGAGGAGAATTGACCCGAGCGTTTCAGAATTCAACATCAGAGGAGTTTGAGAGAGGAAGTGCCTATTGGAGGGCACATATATCTGGGAGTTTGGTAGACCTATCAGCCATTGACAGAAGGATGAATACAAATGATTAAGTTGATGCAGATTGTTGAGCGGATCTTTGAATACAAGGATGTGTCCGATGACAGAAGTGTGAAACTCGCCTCCATCTAGTTGACGAGAAATACCTCTTTGTGCTGGGAAAACGTGAAGAGGGAAAGCAGAGGGAAGGGCGGGATAAAATTACTTTTGGGAAAAGATGAAGGAAATGCAACGATAATACCTACCCCCACCTTATTGTTAGGATATTTTCATAAAACTCCATTACCTGTAGCAGAAAGAGCAATCAGTGGAGGAATACATGAAATGTGAACTGAAAGTGGTAGAGGAGCATTCCATAGACAAGTATTTGGAAGGCTTGAAGCCCGTCATCAGTAACATGATACAAAATCAAACTATTGAAAACTGAGAGATCTGTAAAGTTTAGCACTAAATGCGGAGAGGCGACAGAGGTACCCGCCTCAATTCAGGCATTCCCCCATAGTGGGAGGCCCCGACAGAAGCACGGCTCGATGAGTGAGAATGACTAGACAAGAAACTGACAAGGCTTATCATGGTGGAAAGAAGTTTGAGAGGAGTAGCACGCTTAGTACAGTTCCAAACTGGAAATACTTCTAATGCCACATATATGGCCACATTTCCTCTAGCTAGTTGATGAGCCGAGTGGTGTAATTCACCGAGTAGGGTGCCGTTGAGGAAATGGGTGATGAAGAAGCGGTTAAGGATCGGGGTGAGAAATTCCATACCTAGGGAGATAAAGGAAAAATGCTAGTTGTTAGAAGAGTTATGCAAGGAAACTCTAGAAGGATCACTTGTGGTTGTGCTGCACTATCTTTCGCCCCCGGTGAGAGGAAAAGTTTGCAACCTCATTATTGTCAGAGGAAGCGGTGCTAACGTGGGTTTCCGCTTTCATGGCCACGAAGTTAGATTTGGCTACACAGAAATTCTCCCAGCCGTCTCAGATTTTAGCATATGTTTGTTCATAGTAATAATATTTGCTTTGCCTATTATATTTTTTTTTGTGATTTTTAGTTTAAACATAGTTATTTTTAAGTAGATTGATATTTAAAACACTTTTCTAGCATGATTTTTTGTTTTTTATTGAAAATAATGTCTAAGATCATTTTTAACAAGTGTGTGAAGTCATTAAATGTGAATTTATAATGAATCGTTGGCATTGTGCATAATGATTTAAGAGTTTTTATATTGTTTGTAAATATTACTAAATGAGTTGGATTATGTTCAAATTTCATTCTTTATCTTATTTTAAAGATGCTATTTTATGGTGAACCACTTATCTTATTTTAAAGATGCTATTTTATGGTGAACCACTTATCTTATTTTAAAGATGCTATTTTATGGTGAACCACTTATCTTATTTTAAAGATGCTATTTTATGGTGAACCACCTAGTCAGAGGGTTTTTAGGTGTATCTGTGTCTTATGGTGCCATTTTGTGGTAAAGGCACATGATTATATTAGACTTGCGACATCCTTACTGGCGTAGGATCTTTGAGAGTGATCATGTAGTTAAATTTGATATGATATTAATTTTGCGAGTTTATGTTAATTTAAAATTTCCAGACTTGGCAAATAAGCACATAGTGTGACTGAATATTTGCTCTTATGTACTATTAATCT